CCCATGGAGGACTGGATTTGGAGTCACACTCAAAACTGTAGTGAACTGCAAGAATTGCTGACACACTCCAGACACATGAGGTCCAGCATTGTCTTGCATTAGGAGGAATCCAGGGCCAACCACATTGGCATTTGGTCTCACAAGGGGTCTGAGAATGTCATCTCAGTACCTAATGGCAGTCAGGCTACCTCATGGTGTTGTACCAAGGTGTTGGGCTGCAAATCCCACCTGTGGTCATTGGGCCCTCATACCACCCTCATGCCTCAGAAGGAGCCTATTTAATTCATTTAAAAACATATTTTTATTTATTGATTATTAATAACTAATAAGAGTGCATTTTACTGAGCTCAGTGTAAAGTTTAGTGTTTAGGCCTACAGTAAATGTAATATTAGAGGCATGTCTGCGGTGAGACGGCAATACTGTGTCTAAAATTACACTATTTCTCTGATCAGAAAACAAACACAATTATCCAAGAGCAACACTGTGTTAGATTTGAGCAAATACACATCAACAAATGTCCTATTCAGCTGGAGGAGCACAGGGATTTACAGGGATTTGAGTTATTTTCCAGGATAAAATGTAAAGCAAATGAAGTAGATTATTAAATAAGTACAAATGTTGTTTGTGTGAGTAAAAAGTCAAGAAAAGTTTGTTAAATACGTTTAGAAATGCTGAAATAAATGAGCAAATAAGGAAACAGAACACTGCCGCCGCGTCCCCATGCAGTAATATGGTGTATCAGCGATCTCACAGGGGGACGATATGGCCAGCTAAAGATTTTCTGTTAAAGCAGGGCAGTGATTCACTAAACTGATCTGAGTCTTCAGTGCAGACTGATGTGTGTCTTCTGTGATCAATCAATGACTACTCACAGAGCTCTTCTGCAGTTTCTCACAGCTGCTGTCAGTCTCCGTCTTCCCTCATCTGATGTGTTGAATTTATTAAAGTCTAACTCATCCAGCGGCTCCTCTGACATCTCAATCATGTAGGAGATTGTTGAGCAGTGAGCAGGAGAGAGTTTCTCCTCTGAGTGTTTGTCTGATTTCACAAACTCCTGAATCTCTCTGGCCAGAGTCTGATCTTTCACCTCCAGCAGACAGAGGAACAGATTGATGGATCTTTCAGCTGAGAGACGGTTATCTCTCTTGATCATGTCTTTAATGTGCTGTGTGATTCTCCTGATGTTCTCTGAGCTCTTCTCTGTGTGTGTCAGCAGATCCTGGAAGAGTCTCTGATTGGACTCCAGTGAGACGCCCAGCAGGAACCGCAGGAACAGATCCAGATGACCATTACTACTCCTGACAGCTTTATCTACTACTGAACTGAGCAGATCATACAGAGACTTCTCAGAGCTGGACTGTAGATATTGATCATATGAATATTCTAAAATTAACTTCAGCGGTTCTCTGTTCTCTGTTAAATGGCAGTAAAACACAAAGAAAGCAGCCAGAAACTCCTGAAAGCTGAGATGGATGAAGCTGTAGACTTTCCTCTGATGAATCACAGATTCCTCCTTGAAGATCTCAGTGCAGATCCCAGAATACACTGAGGCGTCAGTGACGTCTATGCCGCTCTCAGTCAGGTCCTCCTCATAGAACATCACATTGCCCTTCATCAGCTGTCTGAAAGCCACTTCAGCAAGTTTGAGGATCACTCCTCTGTTGGACTGCAGGAGTTTCTCTGGATCTCTCTCTTCATACTTCTGCTTCCTCATGTTGATCTGAATCAGCAGGAAGTGGATGTACATCTCAGTCAGAGTTTGAGGGATTTCTGCACTCACATCTTCTTCCAGGAGCTTCTGAAGCACAGTGGAGGAGATCCAGCAGAAGACAGGTATGTGGCACATGATCTGGAGGCTTCTTGCTCTTCTGATGTGGGAGATGATTCTGCTGGCTTGATGCTGGTTGCTGATTCTCTTCCTGAAATATTCCTCCTTCTGAGGCTCAGTGAATCCCTGAATTTCTGTCAGACGCTTGATGTATCTGGAGGGGATCTGATGGGCTGCTGCTGGTCTGGAGGTGATCCAGATGAGAGCAGAGGGAAGCAGATCTCCTTTCAGGAGGCTCCACATCAACACAGCCACTGATGAAGATTCAGTCACAGCACAAACTTTCTGTCTATCTGATAAAGATTCAGTCACAGCACAAACTTTCTCCTCATCTGAAAACTTCAGTGTGATTCTGCTTTCATCCAGACCATCAAAGATGATCACAACTCTACACTGCTCATAAATCTTGGGCTCCAGATCTTCAAGTTCAGGATGAAAGTCCAGCAGAAGTCTGTGAAGACTGTACTGATGATCTCTGATCAAGTTCAGCTCTCGAAATGGAAGCACAAACATGAAATCTACATCCTTATGGTCTTTTCCCTCGGCCCAGTCCAGAATGAACTTTTGCACAGAGACGGTTTTCCCGATTCCAGCGATGCCTTTAGTGAGAACAGTCTTGATCTGGGCTTTCTCCTTCTTGATCTTCTCCCCATGTCCTGCTCCAGCTGAGGCTTTAAAGATGTCATTGCAGTAGACTGGAGTGTGTTGTGAGGGTTTTGTTCTGGCTCTTTTCTCCATCTGTAAAACCTCATGTTCTTCATTCACTCCTTCAGTCTCTCCTTCTATGATGTAGAGCTGTGTGTAGATCCTGTTCAGGAGGGTTTGAGTCTCTCCATGTTTGATTCCCTCAAATAATCTCTCATACTTGTTCTTCATGCTGGTTTTGTGCTGCTCTTTGACTCTCTGAAGTTCATCATGTTCTGGTTGGAGTGAATCCTGCTGCAGGTCTCCAGTCTGATCATCTCCATCCACACTGCAGGAACAACAACGACACAAAGAGTCAATGAGTGCCAGTGTAAAGATCCTCTAGTGAAGCCATGTGTGTTTTCTCTGAACAAGCTGAGACACAATACAGAGATTAAATCAGATTTAACTTAAACACCACACACTGATCACTTTAAACACACTGTTCACTTTAAACACCACACACTGATCACTTTAAACACACTGTTCACTTTAACCACCACACACTGTTCACTCTAAACACCACACACTGATCACTTTAAACACCACACACTGATCACTTTAAACACCACACACTGATCACTTTAAACACCACACACTGATCACTCTAAACACCACACAATGATCACTTTTAACACCACACACTAATGACTTTAAACACCTCACACTGATCACTTTAAACACCACACACTGATCACTTTAAACACCACACACTGATCACTCTAAACACCACACACTGATCACTTTTAACACCACACACTAATGACTTTAAACACCTCACACTGATCACTTTAAACACCACACACTGATCACTTTAAACACCACACACTGATCACTTTTAACACCACACACTAATGACTTTAAACACCTCACACTGATCACTTTAAACACCACACACTGATCACTTTAAACACCACACACTGATCACTTTAAACACCACATACTCATCACTTTAAACACCACACACTGATCACTTTAAACACCATAAACTGATCACTTTAAACACCACAAGCTGATCACTTGATGACAAAAGCTCCTAAATTACCTGTTCAGCTGCTGTAGTGTGTAATGTGGTAATGTTGTTTCTTTTACTGTATAATTTTCTGTTCTCATGTTCCTCTGAATCTTGTATTCTGCTGTCTGTAGATCTGAAGGTTGTTGTGATCTTATACTTGTTAGATGTTTTACTATCAATAAGAAATAATAAGCGTCTCCATCTCTGCTATCTGAATCTTCACCATGACTGTGTTTGCTCTGCTTCTGTAAGCTCACTTTCTGACTGAATACAGTTTTTGATTTACATAATAACTCTAGATCATACAAGTGTTTGCTCTCAGAGTTCAGGATCAAGGCTCATTTCTAGTAGAGAAAGCCCAACAGAAATGCAGCATTATTAGAGCAGATTAGAGCTTAAACTAATCATCAAATCGCGGAATGAAGTCCACAGTGTAGGTGTGAGAGGAGCTTAATCATTCAGGCGTGTCAATCATCATCACATGACTATATAAGCAGCAGTATAAACTGCACTGTGTCAGCTGACTGTTATTCCCGCCTCCAGCAGCTCCCCTTATCCTCCTCCTCATCACTTAGTCTTCAGAAGGTCACTCATCTGGGGTTTGTCTGCAGAGCTCCAGTCCAGACTTTGAGGACAGCAAGACAAGTTCATTTACCATCATCTATCATGACTGAATGAGCAGGAGAACTCGAGAAATATCAATTCTAGAAACCAATTGTGTTGATCAGCAGCATCTATGAGGCCAACGCAACATGATGATGACTGCGCTTCAGTGAAAACAGACTCAGATCAGAGGAATGGCTGATCAGTACAGCACAGAAACAGCAGGGGAAAGTGTGCAGGAAAAGCCCTTTATGGCAGGAGATCAGGAACACTTTAGTTTAGCTCACAATTCATACTATTAACTACCGGCTTATTATCTGTGTAATGTGAACATATGAACTGCTCATTAGTAGTCATACAGTATGATCTTATTGTGGATCCCTAACCCCACCCAAGCTACCTCGAGCTACATTCATCATTTTGAGGGTGAGTATCATCATGCTATTTATATGAATAGAACTTAAACGCTAGCCGTGTCTGTTTCTCACACTTCATATTGATTTTTATGTCATATTTTAATTATCCGTGTCATTTCTATCCATCTTTATCTATTTACATATATGTACATTGTGTCCTTAATATCTATTAGTATGAACTATGTATGAGTTATTAGCTAACGTTATAGGTTATAGTTTCCAGGTTTCCTGTAAGGAGGAGTGACAGGAGATCAGCATGACGTGTTTCAGGGCGATGATGGAGTCAGAGAAGCTGCATTTGAGTGGGAGGTTTTTTATTCTCAGGATGACATGAAGATCCAGCTCATCTACAAAGACATTAAAATGTTTCAGAGGAAGCTGACCATTTCTTTCTTTTTTTATTTTTACCTGTCAAAATGATTACAAATTTGAACAAAACACTCAAACAACATCTTATTTAACAATTGTTTAATGTTGTATTTTAACACATCGCTGTAAGGGAAATGTTTAAAATTGTGTCAAACTGTATATATTTATACTGCAGTGCAAGTGTCTAGTTACTTATATTTACATATTTTAAGGGTTTTCCTTGTTCAAAATGAGTTGGAGTTAGTATCCCATTCATTACATTTTTGTGACTTGAAACAAATGCATTTTGCATTATTCTTGTAATCTTTTATTAAAAACATTCGTTTTTAAAAAGGCTAAGATTAAATGTAATTAAATACAACCAGTGCTTGAGCATCACTTGGGGTCTGACGGTAGTTGCCTGCCTGATTTTTGTCAAAAGACAGAGGCAGTACATTTGATGGAGGTAAGCATTGCATATTTCTCTATGCACATAATACCCTGCTTATTTACACCTGCAGTGCAAGTATCTAAAATGATTTATATTTACATTAGTTAGAGCAATTGTTCACTCAAATTGTTCTGTAATATATGTTTAAATGAATATGCTGAAAATTAATGTTTATTATATAGACAACTTTACATTCCTGCAGTGCAGACAACAACATATAAATTATGTACAGTGTGTGAACACTTTATTATTTAGCTCAAGCTTTTACTAATGCGCAGAAGGCAGGCCATTGTATAAATCTGGTTGGTGCTTGGTGTAATAGAAAAAGATGATGACTGTCCAGCTTGTGTTGCTTCATGCTGCGGATGAGATGCTCAGTGTGGACCCTCAGCCATGCCATGGACGATGTCTCCCTCACAGTTGCGCTTACTCTGGATGTTGTAGGATGCAAGTTGTGTACCTAATCAGATTTAATGCAAGTAGATGTATAAAAAAGAAAGAAATGTATTAGCTTTTGCATATAAACACTTGTGCTTAACACATTTTTTTCACTTTGTTATTTCCATAATACATCACACTAAAATGTTTAGTCTGTGTTTACATACACACACACACACACACACACACACACACACACACACACACACACACACATATATATATATATATATATTTATATATATATATATATATATATATATATATATATATATATATATATATATATATATATATATATATATATATATATATATACTATACTGGAATTTTTTAAAGTTCATGATAGTTAATACTACAAAATGTTGCTGCATTCATTAACAGAAAGTTGTAAATACAACAATATTCATTCATTCATGTTCTTTTCGACTTAGTCCTTTAAAGTACTACAATATATACAGTATAATACAATTTACTATAGTACACAGCAAATTCATTGGTGTTAAATTTCTAGTGTTGTGGTAATTCAGAGTAAAGTGTTAAAATTCTAGAGTTAGATTAAGGTAAAATAACCCTCTCGGCGTTAGAAGCTGATTTGCCTCCTTGTCACACAGAGTAACATGTATCTACCTTTGTAGAAAACCCTTGTATTTGAGAAACTAATCAGAGTGTCTGAAATCTCACCACACCCTCATTCACCTGGCCCTTAAATTGGTCAATTAGTTTAGTCCACTAGACAGAGCGAATGACCACAAATAAGTGAATTCAGACACCTGCTGTTGAACACCTGCTGTTAACAAGCACAATCACTGAAGGAATAAGAAATTGAAGGAAGAAATAAAACTACAGACACAGCCTCACAGCAAACCAACTGAATTAAAACAGAGGATTAAACAACTCCATTAAATAATAGTATAAGCAGCTTCACTGATTACAGTTTGACTTCATTTCTGTAAGAATATTTGACAATGAACAGAGGTTTAGATTTGTTTTATTAAAAATATTTCATTTGACCTCACCATCATAGAGACCAGAGGCTGCTTATTTGAGCTCTTGAAGCTTTATGCTTATAGCTTAATGGTTCTCTGACTGTTATAGCTGTGTTTCTAAAACTCATCAGCTATAGCAAAAAAGGTCAAGAGAAACTATACTGTTAATGCTTTATTGTTATAGACATAATTTCAGGTGTTTAATAAGTTGATTCATAAAAATATGCAAATATAGTTGTATTATAACTGAATGGGACAATACTACTGGCAGTCTGCTGCACTCATAGAAAATTCAACAAACAATTAGGATGCAATTAATAATTAGACTGTCATGCACTAAAAATTCAAGCTTCAGCTTATGCATTATGACACACAGTCATCAAGAATCAGGATATGAACCTCAACTGTGGTTGCTAAAAAAAAAAAGCTGCATAGTTCATGCCGCAATGCATGCTGGGTGCCAGCATAGTACAAAGCTCCCAGCATGCATTGCAGCATGAATAAATTATGCAGCTTTATGTTCTTACAATCTCTTTCTTTTCCTGTATTTAGTGTTGTTTTTGGGAGGTGATATTTCAGTAGAGTGTTTTTATTACTTGATTTTTATTTTTTTGTTTGTCACCATCATTGAGATTCAAAGACTAATTATTGATGTCTGTGTGTTTTTGAGTTTTGCCATAGATCAAACATTATCATTATAAATAGTGGTTTTATTTTATATTATTGGAGCTTCAGTGGTTTCATTTATGTAAATTATTTATTTCTCACACATAACTAATATGATACTGAATTAGAAAACAAGCAGGAAAGGATGACTATGTTATCATTAATAATCTCTTCAGACTGACACTTTAATTTTCTTTCAGCTTTCCATGTTATATGTATAAATAGTGTGATTAACACTAACTATAGCAGCCAAAGTAAAAGAAATTTATAGCAAAAAGTTGAAGAGCCTGACTAAAGCAGACTCTGTCCTCCATCATGGTGACTTTAAATGAACAGAAATTTTATTAAGAGCTTTTGTTCACATGACAGAAATCAAGTCAAAGGTCAGTAATAGGTGAAGCTCCATGATAAGTTGTTTAATGTGATGAGTTTTTTTTTTAAAAGATGTTGAAAAATAACATTTTTTTATTGTGTAATTTGTTTTATTTTTATTAATTATTATTTTATTTAGAGTTTTTTTTTCTCAGTTGATTTCATCTTTGGTTTTGGCTGTAATTGGTGTTTTTCTATCCTTCAGTGATTCTGCTTGTTAACAGTTGTTCATCAATAATTCTCAATCCTCCTTTAATTAGACACTTAATTGTCTCATTAACTTCATCACTGTCTGAGTGTTCAGCCCTCTGTAGTGAGGACACTAGTGAAGATTTTGCTGTGGAATTTAAAGGGTCACGAAACACCAAAACACATTTTTTGAGCTATTGACAGTCGTATATGTGTCCCACACTGCTAAAAACACTATTAGGACACCTATATTTCACTAAAAAGTGTAAATTGGTTGTTTTTGCGTTATTTCAAGCAAATTCGTACTTCCTGTTTGAAACGAATTTTTGAAGCTGCGTCACGGTCATGACATAATAGCGTTGTATTCCAGCGTGCAGACTGGGCGTCTGTGCCAGAGTGTGCCTTATTACGTCTTACAGTGTGATGCATTAATGCATGAGTAAGCCTTGGTTCAAACCAATCAGCGCGCTCTATTGTGCAACTTCATTAATATTCATTAGTGTCACCGTCTTTACACCACAGAGACGCCACGTTGTGTTGGCAAAACAAGCGTGAAGTGTTGCTTTTAAATTTTGCTGCAGTTAAGTTTCGTTTTCATTTTCTCTCTGTGAGAGCTCAGACTCACGTGTGGATTAACAGTGTACGCGACGCGCGACAACAATAACTTACGTGTCTAAGGGGGATTATTGTTTACCTGAGAGCTGTTCTCATCTGCAAACGCTGAGATCCGGATTCCGGATGTAGTCTTCTCTTCAGACGCGGCTCTAGTTGCTGGTGATTGTCCTGTCTCTACAGATTTGGTAAGTGAGCGACCAGTGCTCTTTGTTTATTCAGTTTGTTCGTATCGAATTAAGTTAACTATTGCACTGAGGGCAAACATGTTAGCACCGCATTTTGTGACCGGAATAACACACGCGGCTTTCTGACGTTACCTGCCGTGTGCGTCTAAGTTTCCGGGAAATGCGGAGTTTTTTTTCTGTCATTCGCCGTGCGGTATCAAACATTGCATGAAAAATACAGGCTTAGAGCAGATCCTCGAATCAAATATCGCGTTTGTCGCGAGGGACATGAATGAATTCCCTGAATGAAAGAGCCAAACTGCAGTTAAAGTCCACCAGTTAATAATTTGGCAAATAATTCCACTACAGATGTCCATGTAGGTTAAACACCATCTCTTTCTCCTGTGTGTGTATTTTGACTGAAACTCGCGCGTGCCCAAATAGACACTCCCACACCCTCCCACTTTAGTTCCTCCGACACTCCCCCCTAAACAGAGCTGGACACCCCCACTTTTCTGACTTTTTCCAAAGTGGAGGTGTGAAAACACCCTGCTGAAACGAGGGGGTTACATGGCCCTTTAAGGCTTACGTGTGTTCGAATGAAAAATACAGACTATGGGATGTATTTTTAACAGAAATATTCTGGAAACTGAATTTACGAATGTAAAATGTTGAAAACAGCAGATTACTGGCAACCACTGCTGCCAGTATTTTGACATACATTTAACAGATATTTTACACAATAAGAGTTTGCTAATTAACACTCTGGGTGTTAAAAATTTTAACACTTTCAAAAATGTTATTTTAACACTTATAGTGGTTCCCATATAAACACTGAGGGAGTGTTAATTTTAACTCTAAGGTAGTTAAATCTACCAAATCTAAAATTTGCAGGGTGAGTTTGATTAAAAAATACAGACTGTTGAATGTGCTTTTAACAGAAATATTCTGTAAACTGAATTTATGAATGTTAAAAACAGCAGATTACTGGCAACCACAGCTACTGGTATTTTTTCGGAAATTTAACAGATATTTTACACAATAAGAGTTTGTTAATTAACACTCTCTTGGTGTTGACAATGTTAACACTTTTAAAAGTGTTATTTTTAACACTTATAGTGGTTCCCATATAAACTATGAGGGAGTGTTAATTTTGACTCTAAGGTAGTTAAATCTACTATCTAAAATTTGCTGTGTATGGTTAAAAACGTATTATTATTTAATATAACATACAATTACAACTTGTCACTTCTTTCATCTGGTTTAAATTCAGATACATCATTTTTAATCGTACCTTTAGAGCTGTATAACACCAAAAGCAGCAGGGAAGCAGTCTCTCCACCTCCTCACGGAGACTTGTCAGCCTGATCCGGTGCATTAATCATCTGCCGTTCGTTGTGGAACTGAACAATAATGATGTTCCAGATGCTGGGCAACCACTGGCACAGGATCCTCACTAATTTATGTGTAAATCTCCCTTGTTTGCCATGCTCCGAACGTGTTTAGGTTTCGCCGCTGTAAGATTTCACTTTAGAACACGTTATGCGGAAGCAAAGAAACAGGCTTATTTTCTACCGGAAATACGTCAGCAGAGTTCGTGCATAGAATCTATTGTGGCCTGAAGTGTAAAGCGGAGATCTTCAAGCACTATCCTGCAGAGCTCAGATACAACATCTAACATCTGAAACCCAACAGATCCACAACACTAATTACCTGATTCATTTATTATGAAAATACTCATCACTTGCAGATATTAAAGAGATGATCTACCTGACAGCAGGTTCTGTGTTTTCACTCTTAAATTTCATTGGTGGATCCATAGACGCGTCACTCTTCATAGACACACAGCTGGGCTCTGCTTCTGCTCTCTTCTGATGAACTGAACTAAAACAGAGAAGATTAAAGTTCAGCGCTGCACACACTAGAGTCAACACACCAGATTTATTCAACATTTCATCATTAAAACACTTTTTTAACAGCACTTCATGATACTTTTCATAATTATTGTACACAAACTTACTGGCTGTGTGTGTTAAATATTCAGACAGATTAAAAACACAACTAACAGAGAGTTAATATAATATCCTGTAGAAAATAATCATATGAAATGTCAAGTGAAGGTCTAATACCTGCATCCTGTAGACAAATCCTGCTCTCTAGGTGTGTGTGTGTCCTCCATGATGGATCTGAAGAGTTTGATCTCCAGTAGAAACTCTAGAAGAAACTGATGAACAATCACAGATCTCCAGTCATTGATCAGCCTTCATAATTCAGCTGAATGCAGGAAAAGATCAGCAGCTGAGACACTCAAATCTAGAAGCTCATCACGAGTAAACTAATGAAGAATCACAGCGTCGTCCGTTTGATTATAATAACATCATACACACATTCACATAAAGCTTACAGGTTTTATCAAGACATTACAGATTTAAAGCTGTTCTGCGTTGTAAATGGTGGATTCTGTCTGTTTAAAATGGCGACACAACAACTAATCACTTTCATAGAGGTAAAGTTGGTTTTATATTCACACTTTCGTTCATTTAGCAGTCTATATATTGTTTACCATGTTACTTTGAATATTTGATCGGAATTAGCATGCAACTATGACTTGAAAACAACATTAACACTGTTTATTTGACTGTGAACAATGTTGTACTTTGATAGTCATTTGCTGCTATTATGATTTCTCTATTTAGAATTTGCAATGAATACTTTTCTGAAATGATATTATTAAGGGGATAGTGCGAATGTGAATGTGCGAATATAAAACCAACTTCACTTCTATAACACTTTCACTTTCGTTTCTGAAGGAGCGGCAGATCATGAGTTCAGTGAAAAACATCCGTCACAAACACTCTAAACAGAGCAGAGAAGAGTCAAACAGCTGCAGGGTTATCAAAGCACCTGCGGAGTTACATTTTACTAGGGGGATTTTACCTGAAGCAGTATAAACACTGAACACAGAGAAGACAGAACAAACACATACCCGGACATCCTCCGCCTCCTCTTCCTCTTCTTCTTCTTCTTCCTGGTGTTTATTGGCGGTTCGCATTCTTGCAGGTCTGTTGGCTTGGAAAAGACAAATCCGGAAATGGGCGGGACTTGACGTCCAGATGTTTTAAGGGATAGGTTTTACTTTTAATTTTTTTTTCTGTGCGGTTTGCTTTCATAATATCAATCTAATTATAAATCATAGTAAAGTTTATTTCTTTTATTATATTTATAACAGTTTTTACAGTCCCGACTGTTCAGGGTATGATGTCAATGTCACATGGTACCTGTTACATTTCTAAGCGCTGTCATCACTTAGTCATTATCGATGACTCAAAATAAACCTTATTTAATATTTTTTTAAACGTTAGCAGGACTATTTTAATTTGTAAATGAGATGGCTAGAGGTAATACAATTCGTTTTCATAAAATATGACAGTGTTTTTAATCTCTGCCATAAGACAATAGAGACTCGCGAAGCGCCCTCTACAGGAGAACTACTTAAAAGGCGCTTAAAAAGGATTGCCGCCTAAATAAACTTCCTTAACGGCAGAAAAGCTAATTTGTACTCCGTGAAGATCCAAGCGGAACAACCGTGGAAGAAAAGGTACGAATGAAGTTTTTGACCTAATGTTTCTTGTGATTTGACTGTGTTACTGTTTCAAGTAGGCCTAATGAAAAGTGATCAGCTCGCATCAACATGGTTAGATCTATTTCAGCTTAGCTTATATGGTAGTCGTAAACTAGATTTTAAAAAGCATAAATATTTTTGTTTTCATGTCCAGACAGTGATAGAGGCAAAAAAAAAAATCTCCATCTGTCATGAAAACGTGTAAACTTCAAGTTGTTTTGAATGCTTTAATAATGTATATTTAGACTGGGTGTATATTACATGCTTAATAATCCATTTTAAGACTGTGTGTGTGTGTGTGTGTGTGTGTGTGTGTGTGTGTGTGTGTGTGTGTGTGTGTGTGTGCGCGCACGCGTATGTGTAGATATTAGGGATGTAACGGTATCACAATTTCACGGTACGGTAATACCTCGGTATGAATGTCACGGTACGGTATTTATTGAATCATTTACAGGAAAAAACAAAACTTATGAAAATACTCCAAAAAAGTGCCAAAAGTGTCAATGACATACAAATTAGCCATCTATCTGTAAGCTTTGAAACAGGAACTTCAATTTTAATAACAAAAAATTATTAAACCATGTAAAAACAATAAAGTTTCAATTTAGTATTGTTGAAAACTCATCACATTCAACATTTAATCACACTCAGCCCATCTACCCAGATGAGAGCTCTGCTAGTCGGACTTCTCATCAAGCATCTCCCGCTGGATCTAATCTCACTGTATTTATTAAACGGGATATTTCATTTATCTTGTTGTCTTTATCTAACGACATATTCCCTGACTTTGGTCATTGGAATCTATTACTTGTTCTCAGGTAACGTGTTTTGGCTGAGCGCAAAGATAAGTTAATGATTAATGTAACCACGTACATTCTGTATATTGACTGATCGTTTGCCTTTATTTCCTATAATGTATAAACTTATTGTATGTTATACTTTTAAAATGGCCATTATCGATTATTAAAACTGATATTCAGCAAAAGAGAGGGTGTGTTTCGTATTTTCACTGAAATTGAAAGGAGGCAGTTGTTATCGGCTCCGTTTTGTTATAAATATCCACACAGTGAAAATGACGCTCATCTTATGCAGCACGACGCCTCAACATGTCTGCTGTCTAAGTTGCTAATATTAAAATGAAAATAGGCAGTTCCTTAAATCATGTTTACATTTTATTGTTGAGAAAGTGAAACAACGACGCCAGGGTGATGTGAATGAAGTTATAAAGTACACTGTTCCCTTTGAAGATTTACCCGTGTCCTCGGTATAATCTGCTTTTCCATATCAAACTGAGAAGAAGAGACAGCAGCCTTGATCAAACTTGCGAAGTCTGAACTTACACGGAGATTATGCAGGACTGAACTGTGCGTGTTAGGCTACTTAATATTCAGGAAAAGCCCCAATCAGAGAGGCGAACGTCTGCAGCCCCGCCTCCGTTTTCAGAATTCTCCGTTTTCCATTATCCACACTGAGACATTATCCACACATTTCGAAACGCTCCGTTTTCGGCGCTCGAGAACTTCGGCGTAGTGTGGACGGTTGGCGTAACCGTAGCAAAACTTATGCGTTTTCAAACTAAAACGCATTAGTGTAAACGGGGCCTTAGAGTTTTCCAGCTCTTTTCATCCCCGCTTCTAGCAGCACACTCCATTTCCGCATTACTGGATCTGTAGCGACAACAGACCGCAAGGGATGATGGTCAAGCATGGGCTGATGGGTATTGTAGTTTTTGCTACCTCCCGTTCGCTTCATTCGCCTAAGCAAATTTTCTCAAAAGACCTATAGTTTTACCGAGTCATGCGACTTCGGTAATATCGAAAAAAATTAATATTGCGGTATGACGGTATTTACAATACCGTTACATCCCTAGTAGATATATAGAATTATTAATATATCCAGTTCCCTTAAAACTTTGCTTAAATATAAAATCAAAAAGTAAATAACTGCTTGGTCTGACAAGTTTTCAGGGCAAAGCACATTTTAGCACAACACTGTTTAACTAACTGGCCAGTGGCCTTAAATGTTTTGCCACCTTCTAAAATATTTTTATTTTTTATTTTTATAGATGTCACAATACAACACCCGTAAAAAACACAATCTAGAAAGTGTGGGGAGTGAAGGTAAGCCTATCTGTTACCTTTTTACATGGCTATCTTTATACAGTATAATTACATAAATGTTAACACTGTATACAAAAGGTGAATTATAACTGTCACTCTGTTTTACTTTCAGTGAATACAACGAAACCAATAAAGCAAGAAATACTGATGTGGCAGAACAAGGCAGAAGTATTACAAAATAAAGTTAATGAGCTGGAAGCCTTGAACAGTGAACTTCGCCAGCAAGTAGTGGAGCTTTCAACGCAACAGCAAAGTAACAGCCTAACACCTAACATATTTTTGTATAATGTATAAGTTAATACAGACACTGTGTATTTATTTATATATATTGTTTTTTTATTCTTAAAGTGTATTTTGAGCACTGTTTCAAATAGTATATTGCTTAAAAACTCAATTGAAATTTGGATATTGCATTTGTGTTGATTTTACATTCAGATGATCTGATTCCTGGTACATCAGTTGGACGTGAAAAATCCAGTGCTGTTGACCTAACTAGTGATGAGAACACATCAACTGATGTAGAGTCATCAGTGACAGACAAATCCTGTGATGACACCTCTTCGAGTTCCAGTTCAGAAGAGACTCAGAGAAGAAAATCAAAAAAGGCAAAACCAAGAAAAACAAGAGCAAGAAACATAGAAAGAACAAGAAGAAGGACAAGAAGAATAAATATGACAAGATAAAACGAGGTATAGTTTTAATATTATGGTAGTTGTTGCTGTTTACATCATAATGAATGATACGATTTGTTTTCTTTTTAAAATAACAATTTGGTGTGTATTTTGTTTCAATTTTCTCCTCTCTATGCAATCCACAATTAAATGTGTTTTTGAAACTCTTTCACAAACACATGTGCATGCTCTCTCTATCTCTCTTAGAGACACATGCTCTTTCTCACACACACACAAACATGTACATGCTCTCTCTCACACAGTCTTATACACACACACGCACACACTTGTATATTCTCTCACTCACACACACATGCTCTCTCATAAACACAAACATGCTT